AATAGAAATTAATTGGCCAACTAATATATATAGAAAAAATTAGCTGGGCATGGTGGCGCATGCCTGTAGTCCCAGCTACTTGGGAGGCTGAGGCAGGAGGATTGCTTGAGCCCAGGAGTTTGAGGTTGCTGTGAGCTAGGCTGACGCCATGGCACTCGCTCTAGCCTGAGACTCTGTCTCAAAAAAAAAAAAAAAAACTAGTCAAAAAGAAGATACAATGTTAACTATAGTTATAATTACATCCATCATCTAGAGACACATTTAGTGCTCTATAGCCAAAAATAATACAAGTTCCATCATTTGGAAACATTGAATGTAATATAAACTGCTTGATGAAAGACAACCAAAAGGTTAATATGAGAAAATAATTATGGTTGTTTAATGTGTTGGCTGAAATCTGGTGTTTCAGAAACATTACAATGGGACTAAGGACTTCTACACCTATTATGTAGATCTCTGACTATTTCCACATTCAACTATGATGGACAATTTGAAGCACACCAACCCTCCCACCAGAGCCACTAGAGAAGTCAGATAAGATACCTGAGAAACAGTTTATTTTAAAGGCATCAGTTGATATCCAGGCAACCAGGATTTGCAGAGACAAGATTCCAAAGAAAAGGGAACCTTCAGGAAGTGAGCCTACGTTCTCTGTTGCTTTTCCCCTCTAACTATTTGCTGATTCTTATGCCCTACAGAACCAACGTTCTTAGAAGGCACAAAGTTGATAAGCCAAGCCAAGCTCAGCAGCCTCATGGTGCTTGCTAGTGCTAGAAAGACAAAAACTGGAGTCAGGGCCCACCGAAGAGTAGAAAGCATGGTGAACCCCCTAGGCATTCTATTACATTTTCCAGATGCTCAATCTTAGTTAAGAAGGTCTATCCCATCCCCATTTTGTACTCATGGGCTCTCTTATTTTCTTATAAGCTACAAGTTTATTTATTTTTAATTTTTTATTTATTTTTAATTTTAATTATTTTTTTATAAAATAAAAAATTTTTATATGGTGCAAAACAGGAGTTCAACTTTATTTTGCTTGAGATAGATAACCAGTCAAGGCTAGCATCATTTATGAAATAAACTATAATTTCCCCTCTGAATTGAAATACTACTTTTGTCATGTCTTAAGTTGAAACAATCTATTTCTGGAACTTCTCTTTTGTGGCACTGATCTTTTTGTATATTCAAATATGTACTGGACATTTATCATTCTTTTTGACTGTGCAGCATCTGAATCCCCTTCCTGTATTTGGGGAAACCTCCACCTTTTGCTTCTGAGCCCATTTCTCATGACAGAGCTGAAAATGCCATGTAAAACCTTTCTCACCTTCCCTTGCAACTAGAATGTGGTAGCAGCCAGCCTCCAAATTGGCACGAGTGATCTCTGACTGCTGGTATTCACACCTTCATGTAATCCTCGCTCATTGAGTAGGGTTATTTCAGAAATGATCATGTGAGTTCCGAGGTTGGTTATGAGTCATTGTGGCTCCTGCTTTGTTCTCTGTCCTGGATCACTCACTCCAGGGGAAGCCAGCTGCCCTGCTGTGAGCACACTTAGGCAGCCCTAGGGAGAGGTGCACGCTGAAGAACTGAGGCCTCCAGCCAACAGTGATGTGAGCGAGCCACCATGGAAACAGATCCTTCAGCCCGTCAAGCCCCTGGACCACTTCAGCCTTGGCCAGCAACTTGACTGCAAGCTCATGAGAGAGACTCTGAACCAGAACTATCCAGCTAAGTGCTTCTAGATTCCTGACCTCCAGATATTGTGTGAGCTAATAAATATTTATTGTTTTAAAGTGCTACATTTTTGGGGTAATTTGGTACACAGCAATAGATAATACAAGGGGTATGGGACTTGACCCAAGTTCATTTGTTTTATATTCTTCAATATTTCATAGTTTTCTCCATGAGGGAGCTATGTCTTTCTTAAGTTTATTCCTAAGTATTTTATGGTTTTTGTCTGTAATATGAATATTTTTTTTAATTTCCACTATGTGTTTTTGCACATTTAGAGCATGACAACTGATTTTTGTATATTTATCTTATAGCCAATAATTTATCAGATTTTCATATTCATTCTATACCTTTTTTTTTTAAACTAGAGTCTCTTGGGTTCCTGGGGTATGCAATCATGTCACCAGTAAGAAGGTGTTTCAAAATAAAGGACTTCAACTTTTCTAAAATTTATGCCAATTACTTCATTTTTCTTGTCTTGTTAAACCCTCCTAAACAGTGAGGAACAATACTGACAATAGTGGGCATCTCTGTCTGGTTCCTGATTCTTACTGAAATGGTTTTTAGCGTTTTGTTGCTTAGAATCACAGTTAATGTTAGTTGTCTTTAACTGAAGTATAGATTATATATGACAAAGTCCACCCTTTTAGAGTGTACAGTTTGGTGAGTTTTAACCACCACCACTATCAAGATCAAGAGCATTCCATTCCAGGGAGGCAACAAGTTCCCTAGTACTCCTCTGCAGTCATTGCTTGACACCTTTATTTCAGTTTAAATAAGATACTTGCACTTCCAGGCAGGAGGATCGCTTGAGGTCAGGAGTATGAGACCAGCCTGAGCAAGAGCGAGACCCCGTCTTTACTAAAAATAGAAAAAAAATTAGCCAAGCGACTAAAAATAGAAGAAAAAAAATTTGCTGGGCATTGTGGTGCATGTCTGTAGTCCCAGCTACTTGAGAGGCTGAGGCAGGAGGATGGCTTGAGCACAGGAGTTTGAGGTTGCTGTGAGCTAGGCTGACGCCATGGTACTCTCTAGCTCAGGCAACAGAGTGAGACTCTGTCTCAAAAAAAAAGATACTTACACTTATGATGCAAGTCCAGTTAAGTTATGTATGAATAGAGACCCTACCTATATTGCTCATCCTTGTATTTCCAGCACCTAGCATAATACCTGGCACATACCAGGTCCTCAACATTTGCTGAATTAAATTAATAAATGAATGAATGAATAAACTGATCAATCAATTCACCTTGGTGCTTGGTCCCATTCCTTAAAGCTCCTTGATGCCAACTGCTTTCCTGCCTTGGTCTCCCCAGTCTGTATTCTCCTTGACTTCCCATTGCTGGACTACACCTGCCCACCAGGAGAGCTATCCACTGCCCCTACCTACTTCTCTTTGCCTATCTTGTTTTTCTTTCCAAGTTTAACTACAAGGTAGGGTGCTATCTAGTGGGCTCAAGAAGAAGCTTAACAACAACAAAAGTAGCTGTTTCCGTAGTGTCATCGACATACAATGTCAAAGAAAAACTAAAATTAGGAAGCAAGGGAATCAGATACAAAGGTGTGTAGCTTAATAACCACCTGGAGTGTTAACTCTGGAGGAGCAGGCCAAGATGGGAACTGGGGATCACTAATGAGTCACAAATTAGAAGAGGTGAAGAGACCACATGGGAGAGACAACAAAGCTGGGACTGAGTAAGCTGCCCATTCCCTTTACAGGGTGCTCAGCCAGAGATGCTATCTTAAAGGGGCAAAGCTGAGTCAGACCAATGGTCAGCTACTTTGTGCTAGCTGTCTGATGCTCTGCCTGCCTCATGAATTCCCAGTCAGCTGCAAAAACATCTACTCACAAGCAGTGGCTCTATTTTGGAGGACATGTCTCATTCTCAGTTCCCTCCAGGTGCAGCACAAATTCCCCACCACTGACCAGATAAGATGGCATTTGCAGTTTCAGAACTAGTTGCTTATTTGTTCATAACTAGAGAAAAGGGTGAAGAATGAGCAGTGAAATGCAAAAAAGTGAAGGAACTCCTTTTTTTCTTAAAAAAAAGAGTAAAACATATAAAAATGCAACTGAGATTTCTGAATATAATTCACACCCTAGTATATTCCACAAAGAAACAAAAGGTGCAAGCACAGAAGCATAAAGAAAACGTGCTTTGTAAACTACCCTTTGCTTACTAATAACAAATGCAGGCAAATTGGGCAGATGTAAATAATACCACAAAGTAGAAACACCAACCACAGAACCAAGACTGGCAAACCTAAATAAAGGAAGTTGTAAAAGACTATGACAGATTATCACTGAGAAGCTTGTCTTCAGGAATTCGGACGACTGAAAACAAATTCAAAGTTTAGTTTTGCTGGAGGAAGCAAGAAAGAAGGGAGTATATATTGCAGATGTGCACACACAGGTGCAGATAGAAGGTAGGTGAAGTTTAGGTTAAAGGGACGTAGATAATATATCCCAAGGCACAAGCTTAGTGAGTGTGACGGACTTCCCTCACAAGAAAGACACCTGGCGTTTTACGTGTCCTCCTGAACGCCTACAGGGTACTTCTAAGAAGTTTACAAAGCTGCAATCCCGTTCCCATTTGCAGCACCACGGGTTTTGCTTTCAAATATCTGCAGGTGTATCCTCCTGAACCCATTAAACTAAGAGATTTCCTTTTCTGTACTAAACCGGACTTTACCACCAGGCTCTCCACCTGACTTAGAGCAGGGAGGTCTTAGACCGCCAGGTCCCTGCTTTTGGACTTTATTAGGAAGTCGAAGGCATTGATAACTGCTCTGTAAACCCAATCAGGGAGACCTGGGGATTCTGGCCGCGGAACGCGCGGCCGAGCTGAAAACTCCGGGTTCCCAAGTGACTCACAACAAGCTAGATTCGGAAACGCGTGTTCCCGAGCCGGAGGCGGAGCCCAGACTCAGGCCAATCCCAGAACACAGGGCGGCCCTGGCCAACGCATGGAGGTTTTCTAGGCCGCTTCTAAAAGCTACGCACACTGGAGAGTCCTGGAATAGGCACAGATCTCCGGGGCAATCAGAACGAGGTGTGAATTCTAAAACACGCAGGGCAGAGTTCCCTCAAAAACACGCTGCGAGAATGTAAAAGAAAGGGCCAGACTGCGCACCTGGTCCGGGGGCCAAAGACTACGGTCCCCAGCATTCAATACAGCTGTTCCTCCTAGCACGCTGCATGCCGGGAACTGTAGTTTCTCACCATCCCTATTCGAAACTGCTCCGGGGGATTTTCAACCTCTCACCCATTTCTCTCTCCCGAGAAGCACTGCCGAAGAGAAAGTTGACTGCGAAAGTCGTGCTGGAATCACTCCCAACGTGACCCCAGGCGTAAATGGGAAAGGGTGAAGAACGAGTTGCTATGGCTACCGTTTCCCCTGGTCACGGAATAAACGCTCTCTAGGATCCGGAAGTGGTTCCGCCGCGACCTCTCGAAAAGGATGGTTACGTTTATTGGACGGTTTCCCTTAGAGGCCAAGGCTGCCCAGGCAAAGGGGCGGTCCCATGTGCGAGGGGCCCGCGGAGCCATTTGATTGGAGAGAACCTGCTACGCCTGACCAATCGGAAGGAGACACGCTTCGGGCATCGGGCACCGCACCTGGACAGATCTGATTGGTGGACTGAGGTCCCCCCCACGAGTTCCCATTGGGTACAGTGGGTGCGTGGTGCGGCACGATTGGTGGGTTCGTGTTTCCCGTCCCCCGCCCGTGGGGAGTGGGGGTGAAAAGCGGCCCGACCTGCTTGGGGTGTAGTGGGCGGACCGCGCGGCTTGAGGTGTGAGGATCGCAGCCCAGGAGTGGGGGGGTGGAGGCGGCTCCTGCGATCAAAGGAGATTTGAGACTCACCGGCCGCACGACATGAGGCCTCTGTGGGTGCTAGGTCTCTGCTGCGTCCTCCTGACCTTTGGTGAGTGATCCTGGAGGAGTGGACGCCCCCCCTCCTCAAGCGCAGCCGCTTCTCGAAGGTTCTGGGGGCGTTGAGCCTGGGAGGGGGATACCAGGGCCTGTGGTGGGCCAAGAAGAGGGCATTGCCTTTCCTCGAAAGAGGGTTGGGTGATTATGTTCATTCTCGTCTTGCTTTAGAAAGAAAAAAAAAGAGAGCAAAGTCATTTAAGTCCCCGGTTGATCTAATAGTACTGAGCCCGGAGGTCTCAGCGACTTCGGGTGGGGCTTCTCCTGGGCTCTGGCTCCCCCAGGAGTTTTGCGGGTGCCCCTGCCGGAGAACTTTGTCAGCCTCCGCAACCTTTGGCCCTCCGAGCCTGAGGACCCGCGCCCCCAGTCTTGCGACTCCTCGTGTGCGCGTTTCCTTTCTTAGATGCGGGTCTCAGGAACGTGAGGCCTTGGACCCGCAGAATGGCAGTGTCAGCGTGTTTGATTCAGCTTGTTCGAGCTCGGTCCTTAACATCTCTTCCCTTTCTCAGGACTCTGGGCCCAATTTCAGTTCCCCTCGCCAGAGGTTGCACAAACCCTATTTGTGTTCTGACTTTTGATAACGAAGGTCCAAGTTTTGGCTTGGTCAGTTGGGACGCCGTGTCTCGGCCTGCGCGCAACACGTGTGGGTGTAAAAGAGGCCTGGTGTCTGTCTGCTAAGCCTTATTTATAAGGGATAAGAGGGGCACTGTTAAGAAGTGATGGATGTCTCCGTATTTCGGAATCTACTGGGGGACCTCAGCATCTGAACTTAAATAGGAAAGGTGTGGTGTCTCGGATTTACATTGGGTCTTTAAGCCAGTGAGTCCATTCTTCCATCCCCACCTCCCATATTAACCAACTGAATTCTGCAACCCCTAACCTTACCCTATTTGATCATATTCCTTCGAAGCAACAGTGTTAATTAAGAGTTTTCTGGTGTTAAATCTACCTTCAGGGTCCGTCAGAGCTGATGATGAAGTCGATGTGGATGGTACAGTAGAAGAGGATCTGGGTAAAAGTAGAGAAGGCTCAAGGACGGATGATGAAGTAGTGCAGAGGTTGGTGTTCGTTTGAAACCATGCAGATTAACAGTGAGTTACAGTAGCTTATTTTATATCTCTTCTCCAAAGGTCCAGGTAAAGTGTAACACTCTGTATTTAAATACCTAAAAATTTGTCAGAGAAAAATGATAGGAGTGGTTAGTTATGTGCATACATAAGTAGATTCTAACTTACCCTAGGAATGACTGATCATAATTGAACGATTTCCTTTTAAAACTTTTGATATCTATATTGCAGAGTACTAGCGCTGTAAACTTGCTCAAGACCTTAGAAAAGACCTTTCAGTTGGTTTTATGTTCATTAAGTGTGCACACTTTGTAACTTTAAAAAGGAGATTTCTGTCAGTTGAACAGTGTTTTAAAATTTGGCTTCTTAGAGCAAATAAGAGCAATAAATGTGACTTTGGTTTTTCGTGGAGGAAAGTTGGGTTTATTTTTCTGTCAATTTTAAGAACCAAGTATTTCTTACTCTGAGTTGATATATTAGTAATATGTTATAAAGGTTTCCATTTTAACCCTCAAGACAATCTTCAGAGGCCACTTGTGCTCTCTCATCACAAAGCCTCTGTTTTTGAAGAGAACTAAGCAATACAGTATTTGCTTATCTGATTTCCTTAGAGAGGAAGAAGCTATTCAGTTGGATGGATTAAATGCATCGCAAATAAGAGAACTTAGAGAGAAATCTGAAAAGTTTGCCTTCCAAGCTGAAGTTAACAGGATGATGAAACTTATCATCAATTCGTTGTATAAAAATAAAGAGGTAAGCAACATGTGGTTAGGATATTTTGTCTGTGTATGGTGGCATACTTGTTTGCTTTCATAGTAAATTAAGTAAATTAAAGTAACTTAGTAATTCCAAGTAAGTAGTTAGCAAAGTTTAAATATTCCCTATGTATAAGAATTGCTTATTAGATGCTTATGGGGGGAGGGATGTTAGACATTTTCCCCTCCCTTTCCTTTTCCCTCCAAATAGTCCATGGCCTGATAAATAGTTGTGAGTCTTAAGCGCAGTGGTCCCCAACCCTTCTGGCAATGTGGACCAGTTTCATGGAAGACAAGTTTCCCCTGGGGGTGGGAGGTGAGGGTGGAATGGTGAGTGATGGGGAGCAGCTGTAAATACAGATGAAGCTTCATGAGATTGGGGAACTCGGGTCTTAAGGACAGTGACATAAACTATTATCAGATCACTGATAGGAGAATAGTATTGCCATTCTTACCAGTTCTGGTATCCCGATAGTTGCTTCAATCCTTTGTGTAAGGTACTATGCTTTCTTTTACCAAGATGATAAAGCCACTCCTTTATCATAAGTCTTATTCCTTAAAGAGTGCTTTTTCCAGGTATAAGGAGAAATAAAATGAGATTGACAGTAAATTCAATGTCATATGTATTTTGAGGCTAATCCAAGTATATTAAATCTGGCTTGCATTTAGATTTTCCTGAGAGAACTGATTTCAAATGCTTCTGATGCTTTAGATAAGATAAGGCTTATATCACTCACTGATGAAAATGCTCTTTCTGGAAATGAGGAACTAACGGTCAAAATTAAGGTGAGCGTAAAATAAGTTTTTTTGTTGTTTTTTTTTTTTTCTTTTAAAGAAAAGGAATCCTAAAAGATAGGGAATCACTATCAGTCAAGAAAGGTTAGGTTATATTGCAGTAACTTGTAGCCCCCAAGTCTCAATGGGAGAGGCAGTCTCAGTGGGAGACTTGGGAGTCAGCAAACTGTGGCCTGTGGGTCAAATCTGACTTTGCTTGTTTTATAAATACATAGCCATGCCCATTTGTTTGTGTAGTATCTCTGACTGCTTTTATGCTACAGTGGCAGAGTTGAATCTTTGTAACAGAGGCCCTATGGCTCATAAAGCCTAAAAAATTTACTGTCTGGTCCTTTAAAGAAGTTTGCCAGCCACTGGCTTAAATCAATCACAGGTTGCCTGCAGCCTTTCCTCTGCCTCATCTTCAAGCCAGGACACAGGCCTGAGCAGCCATCTGGAGTGTAGCTGGTTGCCATGGTGCAGAGAGAGCTTGGAGGGTCTCATACCAGTTAAAGGCTTAGCCTGAAAGCTGCACTCATGGCTCCCTTTTGTGACTCCTTGGCCAGAACTTGTCACATGGCCCTACCCAGCCATACATGGATGAAGTATAATCCTACTATGTTCCTGGAGTGTGGAGAGCCAGGAGAACATTAGTGATCACCACCAATTCCAAAATACAAAGTTGTTTTGTTTTTAATCAAAGAAATAGGCAAGACATAAAATTTTATTTTTCTTGAATTTTTTCTTTAAAAATTACTCGTTTTATTTAGATCAATCTCTCCTTTTTGACATTTAGATCAGTCTGCCATTGGTATTGATACTCTCAAATACAGCAAATACTTTAAGATGTGCAGTTTCTGAAAAGGCCATGAAATACTATATAGAGGAAAAGAGTTTGGTTTTCTGTATTGAAATTGATGGAGCACAAAGCTGGTCGTTTTCTCAGTACATAGCTCAGTATTTGTTTGACATAATGTATCAAGCAAATATAATTATCTTGTTCTTGTCCTTTAGTGTGACAAGGAGAAGAACCTGTTACATGTCACGGACACTGGTGTAGGAATGACCAGGGAGGAGTTGGTGAAAAACCTTGGTACCATAGCCAAATCTGGAACAAGCGAGTTTTTAAACAAAATGACTGAAGCTCAAGAAGATGGCCAGTCAACTTCTGAATTGATTGGCCAGTTTGGTGTTGGTTTCTATTCTGCCTTCCTTGTAGCAGATAAGGTTATTGTCACATCAAAACACAACAATGATACCCAACACATCTGGGAATCTGACTCCAATGAATTTTCTGTAATTGCTGACCCAAGAGGAAACACTCTAGGACGGGGAACGACAATTACGTGAGTATTACTGGTTTTTAATAAGAATTAATAGCCCTAGTGAGGATCTTGACTCTCTAGTTCTGGCTCTCTTGAGCAAATGACTTATTCTGGGCCTTAATTTTCTTGCCTATAAAATGAGGAAACAACTGTTCTCATCACTTGAAGAAATATTTGTGGACCTGCAAAGGACCAGACACAAAGATCTGTGCTTGCTGCTGTACCTGGAGGGCATAAAGTAGGAAGGGTTAGCTCTCCCAGGAGAGAAAGCTAAGGGGAGGCCTCACAGAGGGAGGGGGCGGTGCTTGGTCAGTTTTCCAGGTTAGAAAAGCACTTCAGGTCTCTGGAGCACCCTGGATAAAGGGATGGAGGCACAGCATGTTCACAGGGTTAAAGGAATTCTTAGTTGGTGGCAATTGATAGAATTTGAACTTTTTAAAAAGATTTCTGAAGGTGAAATGTTGAGTGGCAGGACTGTATTAGGGGAGACTTTGGGTGGCTATTCAAGATACTTGGTAGCAACCAGGGCTGGGGTGGCTTGGAGAGGACAGGTAGAGATAAAGGGCTTCAAGAAACAGTTGGCCAGACAAGGTGGCTCACACCTGTAATCCTAGCACTCTGGGAGGCTGAGGAGGGTAGATCACTCAAGGTCAGGAGTTTGAAACCATCCTGAGCAAGAGCAAGACCCCATCTCTACTAAAAATAGAAAGAAATTAACTGGCCGGCCAACTAAAAATATATATAGAAAAATTTAGCCGGGCATGGCGGCACATGCCTGTAGTCCCAGCTACTCGGGAGGCTGAGGCAGAAGGATTGCCTGAGCC